CCCCAGGGCGGCTGCTGTGGCTGCTGGTGCGGCTGCGGCTGTGGGGGCAGCTGCGGGGGCTACTGCAACTGCTGTGACTGAAGATGCTGCAAAAACTGCTGGAGTTGCAGTTGAGGAGAGGGAGTGGTGAGGTTAAGGTGGGAGGGTTGATAGAGAGGGAGATGTTGAACATCATGGACAGTGGGACGACTTGCAAGAGCGGACCAGCGGGGGGGGGGTACCATGGTTACCACGATCAAACCAGGCATCGTCCAAGACGCCGAAGCAGGTGGTTATGGGGTGGTTGGTTTGACCGCAGGGTTCCCCAGCGCGAGGGCCGTGACGGCGAACGTAGGGGCAGGGGGGGAGTTGACCAGGTCCGCTACCACCACGTCCACTTCCTCCAGGGCCGCCCGTGCAAGAAGGAGTGCGTCCACCAAAGGTGCCACCACGTCCACCACCACGGCCGCCACCACGCCCACCTCCACGTCCGCCACCGCGACCACCACCACGCCCACCACCGCGTGTCTGGGTGGCGTTGAGTTCTGGCGCGGGTGCTTGAGCCGTGTTGAGAGAAGGCGGGTTGGTACGAAGGAGGCGGGTTTCGGTGTCAATGATCCATTGAACAACAGCAGCAACATCCGCAAACGGCTGATTTTCGCGGAAGGCAATGACGTGCATGTCGTAGGACGGGTTGAGACCGCGGAGAAGGCGATCTATCTGGATGAACTGGGGGAGTTCGGACTGGCGAGCCTTAAGTCGCTTGGCGAGAGAGGTCATGCGGCCGGTGTAGGCGACGGCACCAGTGCAGGTTGCGAGCGTTGTCTCCCAGTATTCGTCAAGGAGCAGCCCCACGGAGTTGACGTCATGGCGCTCAAACATGGCGTGAAGGGAGGCCCAAAGGGCAGGTGCGTGAAGCTCTTGTTCCTGAAAGTCTCGCATTAGAGCGGGGGGGAGACCACCAAGGATAATATTAGAGGCAGAAAGGTCAGATTCCTTCCAAGCAGCAGCTTTAGCGGTATATTCAGCGAGCGCGAGAGTGTAGCGGTCAGCCATGGTGCGGTGATTTATTATGGCAGCTTGGCGCATGTCGTATTGCTCGCGAGCCGCACGATGGTCCGCTCGGAGCGTGAGGAACCGACGCCGCTCGAGATCGTAGGCTGCTTCATCAGCGGCTTGGCGAACAGGATCCGTGGAGGCAGCGGGCAGATCTGGTTCGTCAGGTTCAGGTCCAGGGTCAGGCGGGAGAGTGGGGGCCGATCCAGGGGACATAGGGGGCGTTGGCGGGAGAGCGGCAGCATGGCGGAGGACAAGGTCGAGGAGGGTGGAGGAGGTGTTGGGGATGTGGATGACGCCGAGGAGGCGGCGCATGCTCCCTGTGTAGGAGTACCAGTTGATAGCGCTCTGATCGGGAGCGAGCTCGAGCCGATCAATGGAGAGAGTGTTGAAATTCTGAGGAAGAGAAGGAGCAGCCATAGCAGTAAGTTAGTGCGATGTGAGGGGAGAAAAAATGTTAGTAGCGAGCGAAAGCGAGGCAGGTTAGAAGCTGAGGGAGAGGAGGAGGGGGGTTAGTAGCAGCACGTGGGAGAGGATTGGGAGCAGTAGCGTGGCAGGAGAGGCGGAGAGCAGAGATAGTATGAGAGAGGCAGCGGGAGAGGAAACGGTGGGCGGAAGCAATGGGGGGGGGGGGGGAAGGGTCGAGGGAGCGGCGGGGAGGAAGAGATGAGGCAGTAGCTAAGTGCCTGGCGGCGAGGGAGAGTAGGAGCAGCCGCGGCGAAGTGTCTTGCAGCGAGGAGAGGCAGTGGCGGCGGCAAATTGCCCGCAGCGAGTGAGTAGAGGCGGCGGAGGCGAAATGCCCCGCGGCGAGTGGGAGCAGTGGCGGCGGCGGCGAAATGCCCCGCGGCGAGTGGGAGCAGTGGCGGCGGCGGCGAAATGCCCCGCGGCGAGTGGAGTAGTGGCGGCGGAGGCGAAATGCCCCGCGGCGAGTGGGAGCAGTGGCGGCGGAGGCGAAATGCCCCGCGGCGAGTGGGAGCAGTGGCGGCGGCGGCGAAATGCCCCGCGGCGAGTGGGAGCAGAGGCGGCGGCGGCGAAATGCCCCGCGTCGAGTGAGAGCAGTGGCGGCGGAGGCGAAATGCCCCGCGGCAAGTGGAGTAGTGGCGGCGGAGGCGAAATGCCCCGCGGCGAGTGGGAGCAGTGGCGGCGGCGGCGAAATGCCCCGCGGCGAGTGGGAGCAGTGGCGGCGGCGGCGAAATGCCCCGCGGCGAGTGAAGCAGCGGCGGCGGCGGCGAAATGCCCCGCAAGGAAGAAAAGCGGTGCGAGAGTAGTGGCGACGGCGGATAGGTCGCGGCGATTGAGACGCCGGCAGCTGAGATCGTAAATGCGGCGGCAGGAGCTGAGGCGAGAAATTCGCCTTACGAGAGATAGAGTAGGAGCTGGAGGGAGGTGGTGACTGGTTGTACTTTACGGAAGATTGAACTTCAACCAAGTCAAACCCACGCAACAAGTTGCATGGGCAGGACGGAAGGGTCCTGACGAGCGGGGAGGAAAAAAAACTTGAGAGAAAGAGGTCGAGAGGGGCGTTTGCCAATTGGCTCTGAATACCATGAAAGAATCTCAAGTGTTGTCTTGATTAGAAAGAGTGTCGGTACATATAGGAGATGAGAAGTTTTGGGAACGAAGTGGGGTACCCTCAGCATTTATTGGTGGACCAATCAGATTGGGTCGACCAACAATTGCTGGGGTAACCAACAATCGTTGGAGGGGACCATTATTGGCCCCCCCCCGTCAATTGCGGTCGAGTTGGGTTTGGGGGCGCCCAACCAAAATTGGTTGGGTCGCCTTGACCCAAAGTGTACACCCACTTTAGGGTGTAACACATGCACAAATATAAACATACATTATGCTATATTCTAACATCAGTCCCTCAGCCGCAGGTCAGTCCCTCAGCCGCAGGTCAGTCCCTCAGCCGCAGGTCAGTACCTCAGCCGCAGGTCAGTCCCTCAGCCGCAGGTCAGTCCCTCAGCCGCAGGTCAGTCCCTCAGCCGCAGGTCAGTCCCTCAGCCGCAGGTCAGTCCCTCAGCCGCAGGTCAGTCCCTCAGCCGCAGGTCAGTCCCTCAGCCGCAGGTCAGTCCCTCAGCCGCAGGTCAGTCCCTCAGCCGCAGGTCAGTCCCTCAGCCGCAGGTCAGTCCCTCAGCCGCAGGTCAGTCCCTCAGCCGCAGGTCAGTCCCTCAGCCGCAGGTCAGTCCCTCAGCCGCAGGTCAGTCCCTCAGCCGCAGGTCAGTCCCTCAGCCGCAGGTCAGTCCCTCAGCCGCAGGTCAGTCCCTCAGCCGCAGGTCAGTCCCTCAGCCGCAGGTCAGTCCCTCAGCCGCAGGTCAGTCCCTCAGCCGCAGGTCAGTCCCTCAGCCGCAGGTCAGTCCCTCAGCCGCAGGTCAGTCCCTCAGCCGCAGGTCAGTCCCTCAGCCGCAGGTCAGTCCCTCAGCCGCAGGTCAGTCCCTCAGCCGCAGGTCAGTCCCTCAGCCGCAGGTCAGTCCCTCAGCCGCAGGTCAGTCCCTCAGCCGCAGGTCAGTCCCTCAGCCGCAGGTCAGTCCCTCAGCCGCAGGTCAGTCCCTCAGCCGCAGGTCAGTCCCTCAGCCGCAGGTCAGTCCCTCAGCCGCAGGTCAGTCCCTCAGCCGCAGGTCAGTCCCTCAGCCGCAGGTCAGTCCCTCAGCCGCAGGTCAGTCCCTCAGCCGCAGGTCAGTCCCTCAGCCGCAGGTCAGTCCCTCAGCCGCAGGTCAGTCCCTCAGCCGCAGGTCAGTCCCTCAGCCGCAGGTCAGTCCCTCAGCCGCAGGTCAGTCCCTCAGCCGCAGGTCAGTCCCTCAGCCGCAGGTCAGTCCCTCAGCCGCAGGTCAGTCCCTCAGCCGCAGGTCAGTCCCTCAGCCGCAGGTCAGTCCCTCAGCCGCAGGTCAGTCCCTCAGCCGCAGGTCAGTCCCTCAGCCGCAGGTCAGTCCCTCAGCCGCAGGTCAGTCCCTCAGCCGCAGGTCAGTCCCTCAGCCGCAGGTCAGTCCCTCAGCCGCAGGTCAGTCCCTCAGCCGCAGGTCAGTCCCTCAGCCGCAGGTCAGTCCCTCAGCCGCAGGTCAGTCCCTCAGCCGCAGGTCAGTCCCTCAGCCGCAGGTCAGTCCCTCAGCCGCAGGTCAGTCAGTCCCTCAGCCGCAGGTCAGTCAGTCCCTCAGCCGCAGGTCAGTCAGTCCCTCAGCCGCAGGTCAGTCCCTCAGCCGCAGGTCAGTCCCTCAGCCGCAGGTCAGTCCCTCAGCCGCAGGTCAGTCCCTCAGCCGCAGGTCAGTCCCTCAGCCGCAGGTCAGTCCCTCAGCCGCAGGTCAGTCAGTCCCTCAGCCGCAGGTCAGTCAGTCCCTCAGCCGCAGGTCAGTCAGTCCCTCAGCCGCAGGTCAGTCAGTCCCTCAGCCGCAGGTCAGTCAGTCCCTCAGCCGCAGGTCAGTCAGTCCCTCAGCCGCAGGTCAGTCAGTCCCTCAGCCGCAGGTCAGTCAGTCCCTCAGCCGCAGGTCAGTCCCTCAGCCGCAGGTCAGTCCCTCAGCCGCCGGTCAGTCCCTCAGCTGCAGGTCAGTCCCTCAGCCGCTGGTCAGTCCCTCAGCCGCAGGTCAGTCCCTCAGCCGCCGGTCAGTCCCTCAGCCGCTGGTCAGTCCCTCAGCCGCCGGTCAGTCCCTCAGCCGCCGGTCAGTCCCTCAGCCGCCGTTAACCCGTGCGCGGACCACCACACGCGCACTGAGTGCAGCAGGCCGCGAGTCAGCCACCCAGCTCATGCTCACTTCACTCCATTCACCATGCGTTCCCCGTGCTGTTCGTTCCCCTTGTGCTGCGTTCTCGACTCGCCTCTTAACCTGCCTCATCCCTCTAGCAACCCTGCCGCCACCCTCATCGCTCTGATTTGCCTTCTCACCACCACTCACCCCCTGTCTGCATCTCTGTGCGCGTGCGCCTGTGTGTGGTGGGTGGGGGGGAGGGGGGGGGCTATGGGTGGCACATGGCAGGTCGTTTGAGCACCGGCTGCACCTGAGGGACTTGGAGCAGTGGATGTCGCAGCGAGACATTCCCCGCGAGCTGCAGAGGTGCGTCTCTCTCTGCATGCGCGCCCACCCACCCCTCGTGTGAGGGGGTGCGGTCATGGGGCAGTGGCGTTTGTTGGATGCGCACAGCGAGGGTGCATGATGCAGTGTCTTGTCTTGTCTTTCCAGGCTGTGCCTGCGCCCTTGACCGCCCTTCCCTCGGGGCATCTCCCCCACTCCACCGCCCTCGGGCCATGTCCTCCACTCCACCGCCCTCCCACACTGCTGCTCGCCCTCCGCCACCTCTTCGCACTCCTCCACCCTCATCTCTCAACCCTCACCCCTCCCCACTCATCCCTCTCTCTTCACCCCTCGGCACTTGTCTCCTTTCCATCGCCCATTCCTTCCCATCCCTCATCTCTCACCCGTCCAATCCATCACCTCTTCCTGTTGCGCTTCTCTCTCCCCTCCACGCACCTCCCCTCTCTCAACTCTCTCTCTCCACCCCACCCCACCCCACCCCGCCTCGTGTCGTGTGTGCGGCATGGGAGCAGGCGGGTGCGGGACCTGGAGCGGTATGTGTGGACGGTGAACCAGGGGGTCAACGAGGAGGAGGTCATGACGTCACTCTCGGAGGACATCCAGAGGGACGTGCGCCGCCACCTCTCCTACGAGCTCATCACCCAGGTAGGTTCAGCTCCTGTCCATCCAATCCACCCCGCCGCATCTCCTCCTCCCCGTCCAACCTTCCACGTCATGCCTCCCTGCTCCCCAAGTCCCTCCATCGCCTTATGCCTCCCTGACTCCCTGCCTCACCTGGTCCCACATCTCGCTCCCCTCCCCCCCCCCCTGCGTGCGCAGCACTGTGTGCTGCTGAAGGGCATGCCAGAGCAGGTGCTGGACGCCATCTGCGAGCGCCTGAAGCAGCGCCTCTACATCGACGGCACGCTCGTGCTGCGCGAGGGCTCGCCCGTGTCGCGCATGTTCTTCGTGCTGCGCGGCACGCTGCAGAGCTCCACGACCAACGGCGGGCGCACAGGGTTCTACGAGGAGGTGCTGCTGGGGAAGGGGCAGTTTGTGGGCGAGGAGCTGCTCGTCTACTTCATTGAAAAGTACGCCGAGGTCTCCAAGAAACAAAGCTCCCGCCGCTCCCTCCGCCGTGAGTCCCCTTCCACCCACTCCTGTCCGGCCCGCTCTCACCCCACTGCTGCACAGCCACTCCACCTGCTGACATGCACTACCACACCTGCCACTCATCGCTTCGTGCTGCATCTCCCTTGAAACCTTTCCTGCCGTCCTTCCCGGCCGTACTGTGGAGGGGTGGCAGGCGATGTGAAGGTGGGGTCGGCGGTGATGCCGGAGATGCTGCCCAAGTCGGAGCGCACCTTCTGCTGCATCGGCCCCGTGGAGGGCTTCTCGCTGGAGGCGGTAGACATTGACTTCGTGTGCACGCAGTTCTTCACCGTCATGCAGTCCGACCAAGTGCAGCACGCCCTCAAGTACGCCCTCGCCCCGCCCCCACTCGCACATACGCTCTCACACACTGTACCGCCTTCCCATCCTCCATACCATTGTCTCCTGCTTCCCGCCTAGCCTCACTTTGTCTGCCTCCTCTGTTGGCTCCCCTACTCCCGCCCCGCACCCCTGTGTGTTTCTCCCCCCCCAACAGCGAGTGCTCGTTGAACCGGCGCATGCGGGCAGCCACCACCATCCAGGTGTGGTACCGCTCGGTGCTGCGGCGGCGCCTGAAGCTGCCCATCGACGTCATGCGGCAGGCCATCCGCACCAAGCGCATCGGCAACCTCCTGCGCTCCCTGCGCTCCCAGGCCTCCAATGAGGCCGGCTCTGGCTTGCATCCCCGTGGGGGGGACGGCTCCGTGGGAAAAGGCTCGGGCAGCGAGCACGGGTCGGCGGAGCATGGGCCTGGCAGGGGCAAGCAGGCGAGCCCAGACAAAAGGAGTGGCAGTGGCAAGGGGGGGCGCGTGGTGTTTGAGCCCAAGGATAAGGAGAAGGGAAGTGCGAAACGGGGCAAGGTGTATCGTGCACTGAGGTCGCTGGGAGGGGGAGGCAGGACATCAGAGAGCCATGGCAGCGAGGAGGAAGAGGCGGAAGGAGGTGAGAAGAAAGAAGTCACAGCTGCAGAAGCAGGAGGTGACGAGAAAGGTGAGAATCAAGTAACCGAGGAAAATGTTGGAGGTGGTGATGCAAACAGCGTACAGGAAGAAGGCCTTCCCAAGTGAATGTACACATGATTATACGGTAGCTTCATAGGAATCGTAGCAGTTGTTATTTATGCATACCGTAGCAATGGCTATTTATGGTCAAAATGAAAATATGGAATCTGAAAGTTCAGGGAGTGTCCGTAAGTGCCAACTGTGGTAGGAGGATTCTTGAAGGATGAAAATTATGGTATGGAATTTTCTCGCTATTCCTTACCGCGACCGTCCACATCGCGTACAGCAGCAGCCGTTGTTCGCTCGTTACTGCTAACAGGGCTTCGCCAACTACGCGCGCACTGTTTCACCAAACCTCGCACTGCTGGAGTAGCCGAGTCGGCCTACGCTTCGGGACTAACCCGAACCTCGCGCCAGCGTAGCACTAGCTAGCTCGCACGCACCGCGTTACCATTTGCACATTTTCGCGTATAAGTATTCGCTCATGCCTTCGCTCATATTTTGTACTCATTGAACACTCTAGTGCAATCCTCGCTACCTCGATTCATTGCACCCGTAACACTTGGTTATCATAGCCACTTTCTTTCGGACCGCGCATCTCCGCACCCCAGGAAATCAACTTTTGATTTTTCACTCGAAGGGACTCAAGCCCCTTAGCACCTAGGAGCCGCTGTCCTCGCGTTCTCTCGTAAACGCGTGCAGCCACGACTGCGCCTAGACTAAGCTGAGCCGACGCCCTTCGTTATGGCTGAACATATCGACGTCACGACGCTCACGCAGGACCGTTTGAACGAGCTGCTGCGACAACTCCACGAAACTCTGAAGAAATCGCGGCACTGACAGCCGAACGCACGTCCCTGCAAAATGACGTCGCACGAGCACAGCAAGCACAATCACAAGCACCTGGCACTCCGGGACAACCTGCACCACAGGCATCACAGCACGGAAGTGTGGGGCAACCCGCGAGCGCGGCCAGTGATGGCGTCGTCCGCCACGACGGAGACGACGACCAAGGCACGACACACCCCGAAGCGACAAATGCGGCCAGGAGCCAGCCTCGCGTCACGATTTCGGCACCGACCAATGATTCGGCACTGCCGTCACCGATGCCGCTGAAGCCGCAGCGTCCGCCATGCTTTGACCCGAGTCAACGGGGTGGTCCTACCGTTCAGGCGTGGTTGTTCACGTTGAACTTATTTTTTTACGCCAACTACGTCTCGGAGGATACGGCGAAGATTCGCTGCGCCGTGTCGCTGCTGCGAGAACCCGCCATGGACTGGTGGCGCGTCATCGTCACGAAGCCGATGGACTACGCGACTCTACCGACACGGGAAGGACAAACCGGACTCTGGGCGCCGTCGTATTTCGTAGAGGTGCCCCAATATCGCACGTGGGATGCGTGGTGCGCAGGTCTGCGCGCTCGATTTGAGCCAATTGCGGCTTCGATCGCGGCGCGTCAGAAGCTCCGCACTTGGCGCCAACTCGGTTCCGTCCAAGACTACACTAGCGGGTTCCTGGCGCTGTGTGAGCAAGTGGGATACATGCACGAAAGCGAGCGCATCGACCGCTACATCAGCGGCCTGAAGCATGATATCGCCCAAGAAATTCAGCTCCGCGGCGTCACCGACTTCCAGGAAATTCTCGCCATGGCGGAGAAGCTCGACTTCTTTCGCCGACCGAGGCCGGGGTCCTACGGAAGCAACAGCAACTGGGGACATTGATCTCGACGAGGGCGCCACGATACGTGCCGTCGTCGCGAATGCCGCTGCCGCACCTTTCAAAGGGCGCTGCTTCGCGTGCAATCGGCCGGGACACCGCAAGAGCGAATGCCCGGAAAACGCTAAGGGAAAGGGGGAAGCTAAGCAGCATAAACAGACCAAGCAGCAGGGAAACGCTGGGATTCAGTAGCAGACGGGCTCTCTACTGACAGGTCACGCCGCTCGCCCGACCCAACCGACCCTCACCGAGTGATTATGCCGGTTCACGCAATCGACCACACCCGGCCGAATAAGGAGGGTACTACGGTAGACAGCCCCATACTGCTTAGCGGGAAAATTGGGACAGACTTAATTAAAATATTCGTAGACGGGGGAGCCAGCCACAGTCTGATCAACATCGCCACGGCACGAAAACTGAGACTGCCACTGGACAGATGTTTACCTGAGATCGACGCAAGACTTGTTGACGGCACGCCACTGGCGATACGGGAACGCGTACACCGGGTTTGGATTCGATGCGGGGGTAACTTCACGTTTAGCCAGGAAATGCTCGCGACAACCCTCGACGGAACCGACATTTTACTCGGCCGTGATTGGCTGCGACGACACAATCCGCGAATCGACTGGACGACGGGTGACTGCACCGTGCGAGTGAACGGTAACAACATCACCTTACCTCGCTGGGGCTCGCCGGAGTCTTCGTCGGTGCGTGTCAACACAATCACGATGAAACGCGCCGTAGCGGCAGGAGCTGACGTGTACGCGGTCGACATTCGGGAAGCTGAGGCAGCAGACAAAGGGGGGGATTTACAGAAACTGCTAGCCGACGTACCGGATGACTCGGCAGCACTATTGAAGCAGTACAGTGGGATTTTCCCGGATGACCTGCCGACAGGACTGCCACCTCAGCAGACGCACGGCCACAGGATAGAGCTAGAACCGGGGGCACAGCCAACAGTACAGCGACTCTTCCGACTGACCCAACCCGAACTGGACGAACTGAGGAAGCAGCTACACTACCTGCTCGAGAAGGAGTTCATTCGCCCGAGTTCGTCACCCTTCGCAGCGCCGATACTGTTCACACCGAAAAAGGACGGGGGTTTTCGCATGTGCATCGATTACCGCGCACTGAATAGGGTTACCATCAAATCCCGTTACCCCATCCCACGAGCTGACGAACTGATCGACCAACTGCGCACAGCCCAGGTTTTCTCGAAAATTGACCTTCGAGGAGGCTACCACCAGATCCGAGTCAACCCACCCAACTGCCCGAAAACAGCTTTCCAAACACGCTACGGATCCTTCGAATACACCGTCATGCCTTTCGGACTGACCAACGCCCCTGCAAGTTTTCAAATGACCATGAACGAAGCCTTTCGCCTGCTTTTAGATAAGTGCGTCATCGTGTACCTCGACGACATACTGATTTACAGCCCAGACTGAGCACAGCACCTTCAGGACATTGAAGCAGCTTTTAAAATACTGAGTGAGAACCGCCTACTGACGAAAGCATCTAAGTGTGAGTTTTTACAGGACTGATTGGAGTTTTTGGGACACTTTATTTCAGCTGAAGGAGTGGAAATAGACCCGAAGAAGATCGCGACGATTCAAGCGTGGCACACGCCGACAAATTTGGGGTTCGTCAATTACGTGCCTCGGTTCGTCCCCGACATGGCGAAGTTGACTGCTCCGTTGACCGACCTGCTGAGGAAGGGGGTTGAGTGCACGTGGGGGGAAAGAGCAAGCTGCCTTCTCGGCCCTCAAACAAATTTTGTGCTCGCCGCCCGTGCTTCACATCGCAGATCCGCACCGTCCGTTCGAGCTCGTCACCGACGCAAGTGACATCGCCGTGGGAGCTGTACTGTTGCAGGACTTCGGGAACGGCCTCCAACCAATCGCGTACGAGTCCCGCAAGCTGCACCCGCCCGAACGCAACTATCCGATACACGACCGCGAAATGCTGGCGATCGTGCACGCATTCAAAGTGTGGCGATGCTACCTGACTGGCGCCGACGTGACAGTACGGACAGATCACCGATCTCTACAGTACCTCCGCGCCCAACCGAATCTCAACCCGCGACAGATCCGCTGGTTGGACTATCTGGAGTCCAACTTCCACTACACCGTCATGTACAAAAAAGGCGCATCAAACATCGCCGACGCACTCACACGTCCTACCGCCCAACTCCACGCCATCCTACTCGCCCAAACCAACCCACTGTTAACAGGCCTATCCACCCACAGATACAGTACCGACCCATTTTTCACGACCGGAAATTCACAGCAACCGGCAGAAACTAAGGGAGTCTATTACGTAAAAACAGGCACCAACTGCATTTGGGTACCCGCGTACTCACTACTGAGAGAACTGTTACTGCACGAGGCACACGACGGGATTACCTCGGGCCACTTCGGGGTAGAAAAAACGCGACAGCAACTGCAGCGGTATTACTACTGGCCGGAGTTGTTGACCGACGTACAGCACCACGTGGGCTCATGTCCTACGTGTCAGGTGATGAAGAGCTTGTTAGAATGAGGAACGGAATGAGTGAACTAGAAAGCAGGTGGGTACAAGTAGGAAACACAAAAGTGTTGTACCCTCTAAGAACTACCCCACTACGGCCTAAATAGACTATAGCATATATAAGTTTGACACACCCCCATAGGCAAAGTGGGGGACAACAAGAGATCACAAGACCAGTCAAGAAAGGCAAAGCAAGCTCAGGGTGGATCACAAAGTCACCACGCAGTCTGAGCACAAGCAAATGGCCACAAGGCCAGTTCACATGCAGAGTTATATAAAGGAAAGCAAACAATACAGTGAACACAACCTAGCAAGTGTAAGCATGCAGGTATATGTATATAGAATACAGTACAAGCAGAGTCAAGAAGTAAGCAAGTGGGGCACAGTAGGTACAAGGCCTAGAACAGTACAGAAACGATGATGATCACAAGGCTGAAGTGCCTTGGTGAAAACATCAGTAGTATTGGCCTGTGAGGCCACGTAAGCAAGACGAAGCTGGCGACACTGCTGCAACTCTCGAGCAAGGAAGTAGCGCAGAGCAATGTGCTTCGTTCTGTGCTCCAGTTTGTGCTCCTGACACAAGGCCGACATGGCCTTGTTGTCGACGTACAGAACTGGAGGAGAACGAGGGGCCTCTCCCAGGTTGGTCAGCAGGTAGGTGAGCCAGCGTAGCTCCTGTGCAGCCATGGCCCCAGCGTAGATCTCAGCCTCACAACTGGAGCTGAGAACAGAAGAAGAGCGGGTAGACCGCCAAGAGACAGAACTGGAGCCAAGACTGAAGGTGTAACCCTGCGACGACCGCTGCGTAGCCAAGTCGTCAACCC